CGATATTAAAAAAAAAGAAAGAAACAAATATAGGAAAAAATCGGGTGAGAGACGTGGAGAGTCTCGACAGGGTGGGTCGTCTCAAATCGCAATTTTGGCCATTCCAGAGCTGGGTGCAGGAGGACGCCGCAGCACCAAGTGACCACCTCCGATCTCGCCCTCTCCAACGACGACGAGTGCGACAACCAGGTACAGAAAAATTGTTCGAGAGAGGCAGAGACGCACGACCTTGAGAAGTTGTCCCGTTGAACGTGTGAACGTTCCCCGCGGTATTGGTGAACGCGATAAAAGGGTTGTTCGTCGATTTCTTTTCCAGGATTACGAGGACGAGTTGGAGAACGGGCGTGGACGTAGGCACAGCTCGCCAGGTGGCTCGAGGGGGAACCCGAGGGATTACGGCCATCATCATCTTCATCCGGACAATTTGGTGAGTGGTCAGTTTATCTTTTCCACGTCTCTATATTTTACGGAATCACACTTCTTTCTTCCTTTCGCGAATTTCTCCCGTTTCCACTGACTGACTGGGCCGGATTTGACACTGATTTGGAACTATCGAGTTAATATTAATATATGAAAAAGTGAATAGAAACGAGAAGTTAGAGGATCGAAGGGTTCAGAAGTTGGATTCTCTGAAAATAATTTAAGAATCTTTTTTATTGTTTCAATATTTCGATTATCAAATTGATAAAGTCTTCTGAAATTGAAATTGTTATTTTAATTGATTCGTCGACTGGATGTTCAAACGATAAAGAGATTTTTGAAACTAACAAGTTTTACGGAATGCGACTTCTGAACCTTCTTGATGTATAAAATTATGTTTTTATCTGAGTAAAATTCAATATCAATTTTGTCTAAATTTCGCGTTAATAAAATTGAAACTATGCGACTCGTTTGTTAATTCTAGGATTAATTTTAAACTGTGTTTCTCGCGATAAAGTGAAGTTACTCGGAACAGGGAAAGTGGAATGAATAATGGAAGGAATTTCGATATCGTATTGGGATAGTCGAGTGTATTAGGGGATGTAACCACGTTTCCTGTAGTAAATATTGAATGCCCGTTTATAAAATTACGAAGGATACGAAGCGCACGCGATTCATAAAAAATTCATCATGGATGATTGTATAACTTGGATCGAAGACAATAGCTAATTCTCATGGTACGAAAGGGTGATAAATTTTATATAACCTTGTATGGTTTAAAAATTATAGAAAAACTTTCAAATACGAAAAAAAATCTCCATACATTTTAATGTTTTAAATAATTTAAATAAACGTAATTTTGTTTATGCAATAACAAGTTAAAAGGAAATTATAGAAAATTTAGAAAATTAATTGATTTAAATTTCTAAATTTTTCTTTGATAAAATGATATTATACAAACGAAATTTTAATTCTTTCGAGTTTTAAAATACATATTCAGATACAATTGTATCATACAATTGTAAAATTTTGATTAAATTTCCCTCTTGTAATAATATCACGTGGAAAATATATGAATATATGTTTCACGAATCCTGAGCAAGTACAAATGAGATTTCAACGTGTTCATTCCCATCTTTTGTTCTCCGAGGCACGAAGCGTTTTGCTCAAAATTAATATCATCCTACCTAGTATTTCCTTGGCAAAGTACGTGTATATCAGACGTATTAACAATTCTGTTGTGCCCTATAGCAACTATATAGAATTCGTTCAAGTACGAGGAGTAGAATTGCCAGATTATGAACCGCCTGTGGTATTACTGCGCAATTGTCTCGCGTTAATGGCTGCCAGTATTTTGCGTGTGATAATGTCAAGAAAAGGAGGGTACAGGATGCACACGCGATGCGCACGAGAGCAGAACAAATGGATAATTGAGACAACGGTGAAATTTCTCCTCGAGAATTATTCAAACCTAACGATCGAGTTATCTTGCTCGAAAAACAATAGTGAAATTTGAAAGAATAGCGATGATCCATCTCGTCATATTTTAGAGCAATTCTGTTCCGATTAAACATTGTATGTATTCTCTATTAACCCTTTGCACTCTTTCATTTTTTCTTTTTCTTTAGCGACAACTCCTTAATTCATTTGCAAAAAGGATCTAAAAAGAGGGTCTAAAATACTGTGTAAAGTATTACAAAGTATTTGAAAGAAAAAGAAAAACATTTTAAAAATTATTTAAGAAGCTGCTTGTATAATGTCGAGTCTAGTTTGGAGTGTAAGAAGTGTGATGAGAGTCCTAAGGGTTAAGAATCTATGCAAGATGATTTATTTGTTGTTAAATCTTTAAATGAAATTATTATCGTTTATTCTTACCAATGTATTTATCTTCAAATTTCTATACTTTACATTTTATTCGCAATAACTTTTTCTTTGCTTCAACTGTTCCATATTCTTTTCGTCCCGCTAAATTTCATTTCCGATCGGACAACGACGATTGGCAAGAGTCAATGAACCGCGGCATTTAAATGAACGAGAAACCGTTAACTCGATTGTCGTCCCGCAAGAATCGACCAATTAAGGAACTGCTTCGAGTAACGAGCCACCCTAATTAGTCACCAGGTCGCGACTGCTTCGGAACAAACCGCGCACTTCGATTAGAAGCGTTTAGCTATCTTTTCCTCGCATCCCGCGCCACGACGGGAAACAGAAATTTTCTTTCTCGCAGCGTAAATATTATTCCAACGATTTTATCCGTCGTAAAATCTCGCATCGTTTACGATTCATTTCCCCTGACCAACTACCCGCTACTTTACCCCTATAATCATTAATCTCCTCAAAAAAAGTTGAACTATAATCCTCTCTCAATTCCTTCTGTTGTATCAACTTTATACCCCATTCTTCTCCATTCCGACGATATAATTTTCGTTTCGCAATACCTCTCGATCACTCGTTTATTATTTTTATACCCTTATAACAATTTCTACCAAGATACCGACCGATTATTATTCACCGATCGAACAAAATCCATTAAAACCCATTAACATTAGCCTCGCTTGTCTCGTTCCCTTTTTCTTTCTTTCTTTTTTTATTTTTTTTTTCTTTTTTCGCGCGATCGAAATCGATCGAAAGGAGGATCCAGAGAGGTTGACCGCCATGCCAATACCAATGATCCACCGCGATACCTTCTCTCACGGGTCCATCTGGAAACGAGCTCGATTTATGGACGTTGATCACGCCAGGTCGATCGACGTTCCAAACCGTGTATCCGAGATCCTGAGGCCAGAAGGAGGAGGTGTTCCAGGCCTGAATTAATTATCCAACCCCGATCGATCATGCCTTGTACAGATACCAGACGATCCAGACGACTCGCGAAATGTCTCTATTTCGTGGCGGTTTTAACGTTGATGGACTTTTGCCGGCCTTGAAACGGCAAGATCGTCGACCGAGCGGTATGGACGGTTCTTGATATCCTTGAGGAGGAGAAGACCGAGGAGAGAACTTCTTTTTCCTTTGCGTGTGTCCCGAGAAAGTCGTAAAAGTCGATCCTTCTTTGAATATTTTATAATTGGCGTGCTTGTCTGTTTGTTTCGAAGATGTATCTGATTGTTGTAAAATCATGGGTTTGGAGAGGAGTGGAAGGAATTGGTTTAATAATTGATGAATTTCTTTGCGTAACTTTTTAGTAACAGTGTTTTTTTTTTTCTTTCTTTTTTTATCTGTCAGTCTCCGTTTGAAAGAAGTGAACGCCGTGCGCGCGTAAATTACAAAAGTGAATTGGGAGGATTGAGAAAGCATTGTTCTTATGATATGGAAATTATGACGCAAAGCGACTATCGGCATCTCGCCGAATATGGGATTACAGAGGGCGAATTTAATTCCTAATACCGACTCGTGTACATATGCATACGTTTCAATATCTATTTTTCGCGTGATTAGAACGCTGGATGTTTCGAATTTCATTGTCTCTTTCTCGAAATTTTTTTTTCTCGTATACTTCTTTTGACGTAATGTAATTTCTCTTTCTTCTTCATCACGATATTCTAAATTTAATAATTCCGTTGTCACTTGGACTAAAAACTGGACACAAAAAAAAGAAAGTATTACAAAGAATATCAAAACGTATATTTCATTGTTCTCGCGTCATCATATTTATAAAGTTGAAAAATATTATTAATTATCAAAAACACAAAAAAAAAAAAAATTATTACACCTATACTCTCTTTCATAACATACTCTTCGATCATTGCAGAGACACGCTGTGAATACATCTACGAAATTTATTCATCCAAAAATTCGAATAAGCAGCGTTCATCCAACACATTCATCCATCATCCACCCACCCCGATTCGTCCCCCTGTACGCGACTTCTTCCCTCGAGCCACAGTTCATCATCGTCACTCGACAAAATCCGGAACTTACGCGTCCGGAGAACGTTCATCCTCGAGTCCCATTGTTCTTTTTTTTTTTTCTTTCTTTTTTTTTTTTTA